GCAGGCTACTAGAGAAACAGTGGCCTTTGACAAGGGTTGGATAAACCACAGCCTTGGAGCCAAACTGGAATACTCTGGAGCAGTGGAGAGCAAACAGGGCTCTTCTATAGCAGACTTGCTTCTCCTTCTTCCTTGTTGAAGGTCATGGATAAACAGCTTTTCTCTTGCTAGCTCTTCCTCAGGTTTTCAAAGTTCTGTGAAATGGGCTGAGGGAGGACATGAACAGGAAGAAAAATTAAATGTTCTCCATATCACAGGCTTAACTCACTTCTCTGAGTTGCAGTGAGACTGAGATTTTAGTGCCCCCTGCACTTATTGGAGCTTAGAGATTTTAGTGAAAGTACCCAAAATGTACACTTCTGTAAGGGAGAGAGTTGAAGGTCTTGGGAAGCAAAAAACAAGCAGGCTAAAAGCACAGGAGTGGAGGAGGAAAAAGCAAGAAGGGAGTAAATACAGAAAAAGAAAAAAAACATAGCCTCTGAATGCTGAAGCTAAAAAGCAAGGAGGAAGATGGGAAGACAGGGGCACACTGATAGGATAAACATAGCCAAACAAAGGAGAAGAGGGCAAATCAGGGTTAAAAGCTGGAAACAGACTGATCTTGATTGGATGGAGTATCTGGGTGATGATATCAGTGGTTCCTCCCTTCTGCTACAGCTCTTTGAAGGATCAGGGAGGTGATCACTCAGCTAAGTGCCATGTTTCCTCTTTCTTTGGAGGAGGATGGGATACAACCTTAACTTGCACTTGTCACAGTGTTTGGTCAGCTCTGATGCAGGAGTTGGGCATGCTTTCATGAAATAAGGCTGTTGAAATTATTTTTGGCAACTCAGCAACTTGTTACACCTCTACTTTGAGCAAAGCTGTTCCAGTTGGTACTAAAGCACAGCGAAGCACTTTGTCATTCAGCTCCTGTGATATGGAGTGAGTGAGAGTTTTTGGCAGAGGAGTTGAACCTAGCGGCTGGTATCCTGTAACTTTGTAAACTCCAAAAACATGAATGGTTGTTTGTGGCATTAGCCTTCAGACCATGACAGTATTCTTAAAACTTAACAAGTGTTCCTCCTCCAGTGTCAATCAGGATGAAGATCCTTAGAAGTCAGTCCAATTAACCTGAACTGCAGTTAAGCATGATTAATGGCTCCATGAAAACAAAGCAAAAAAACAGGCATTATTCTTTTTGTGTGTGAAAGCAGACTTAATGCTCCAGAGGGCAAATAAATACCATAGTAATATTGGGAGGTGGGGGGAGGGAGGAGCTGGTCTGTACTTTGAGGAAACTTAAAACTAAGGTAGCAGTCTGGGTTTTAATATATGTGATTTGATCCTGAGAAAAATGTACTTATCTTAGACTTAGTGTAGCTGTCATACTCCATCAGCACTGGAAGCAATATGCTGTGAAAGATGAGGAGAAGAGGAATGGACAACCCAAAATAAAGATAACCGTATCCACTTTGCTTAATACCTTCATGCCTTGCTATCTTTCTTTAAGATTTAAACTCGTCTCACCTTATTAGTGTTGTTATAGGTGCATTTTTTCTTCCTTTGGCTGGGACTTGGTTTTCCTTTGGGGGTTTTGGTTTTTTCCAAGTGTTTTACATATATAAAAAATATATATATATACTTTTTTTTTTTTAAAGAGTGGGAAAAGTAACTATTAAAATATTTTTTCCTAACTGTGCATTTGCTTGAGTATTATGTATTTGGCAAACATTAGCAGTCTTACTAATGCTTGTATTTACTATGCGTTGCTACGAAAAAGTTCAGACATTTTAAAAAAGAAATAAAACCCCCATGCCACTTCGTTTAGCTTTGTGGTGATATTACTGACAGATGCATTTGTGACTGTAGTTTGTGGATCTTTTGTCATGAAATGTTTTCTGAGAGAGTTGTATACTGGCAAGGTTGGAATTATAAAGTTCAGTGTGAAAAAAAGCAACAGGGTTTTTTCTTTCCATTGAACTAATGCTTACCTGCAAAAATTGTTAGTATTTCTTCTTTTCACCAGTTAGTTTTTTTGCTGGTAAATAACAGGAACTTTAATTGCACATTAGTAGCTTACAGGAACCTATTGTTATGACAAGTATTTAAACCAGCTGTGAATTAAAAACCTCTTTCCACCCAGTAATCTAATTATATTGTCACACTAATTATAGTATTTTGTATTTGTATTTGACAACTTTAATTTTCTTTTCCTAGTTTACTGATATAACTTTCCTCTAGAGAATTTACCTTTTAAGCTAGAATTTCTTATTTTGTCTTTCAGAAAGTGTACAATAATTTAAAGCATGTCTCAGTCACTTTGGAACCATTCTGTACATGTCTCTGCTCTTAATTTTCTGTGTGATCTTAGGCTAGTCATTTTAGTGTTCTCTGATTCTCTGTAGGAGTCCTGTTCAGCTTACTAAGGTGTTTTTGGATCTATGAATGAAATTGCACTACCAAAACATCAGGTACTGTCTTAGGAACATAAATATAACATGTTCATAGTCTGGGACTCTAGTTTTGTTTGGGGTTTTTTTGTGGTTAGAGACTAGAAAAGGGCCCACAAGCATGAAGTTGAGACTTGTAAACAGGCAATAATACCTTCATCTATTCACAAAAACAGTATGATGGGCATTTGAAGTACATTGTACTCCTTAATATAATACAAATGTCCATTTAATTTCTATCCAAATACTACTTATTCACAAGCCCCAGAAATTAGTGCTAATAATAAGCATTATTAGCTAATAAGCTAATAATAATCACACCTATTGTGTGATAAGTCCATTATGTTGTTGTGAATAATATTGAAATTAAGCATGCAGGCTTTTATTTATTTGACTTAATTTTTCCCTGGAAATATTAATGTAAGTAACGGCTACTACTAGTCTGGGCATGAGATTGTTACTAGTGTAATTTGATAAAGCTAATGAAAATAATTACAAGAAATGGTGGAGCAGAAGCATGATGAACATATCAGCAAGCCTCGACCTGTGTCAGCAATAGTGGGGCACTGGTATTATTCAACAAATAAGCTGTTTCCTCCCATAGGGAAGAGGCAGCTTTTATTAAGGGAAACCTGAAATGGTGTTAAGAATGGGAATTTATTCAAGACACAGAGAAAAGTTTATGTAAACCTGGCAACTTTGGCTGACCTGAAACATTGACTAATGGGGGAATGAAGGGCATGTGGCACAAAGCTTTGCTTTTTGTTATTGCTAAGAAAGGAGACACAGAGATGCATTCTGTGGAGGCTGTGTGTAGTCTGCTTTGCTGCAAGGCTGGTGCTGGCAGAAGATTCCTAGAATGACATTTAAGATGAGGGAGAAAATAAGGTTTGTTCCTGTAGGCTCCTGAGGAATTGCAGCTGCTCCTGTTGGCCACTGTGCAAAAGTCTGGTTAAGCAATACAGAGATGGTTGCAAGTTTTGCCCATACCTATGCTTTGTTGAGGATGGTAGCAAATTCCAAGATTTAAACAGATAATTTTGAACACTAACATGTTCAAAGTAAACATAATCAGTGTAATTACTGCTAAACTGAATAAAATACAATTTTACATATTGCATCATCAAGTGGGAAGGTTATGCATGGAGGAGATGTCTAATAGAATTAGCACTGTTAAGTGCAAATTCAGGCTCTTAGGAAAAATGGCCAATCTCTAGTTTTTAACAGTATCTGGCAACTTCTGTACTCCAGCTGCTCCCTAACTCTTCATAGGCATAACTACTTCATATTGCTCTCTCAGTTCACTAAACCTTTTCTCTCTGGTGCTGTCTCTCTTCTGAAACATGCAGATAGGGCAAAGAGTTTTGTTCTCTAACACATGAGCATTCACCTGCAGACTACTTGACTCTCTACCTTCACTGCATGAGTCAGTCAAAGCAGGGGAGGCTGTTTGGGTACTCACCAACTGGCAGGGAGTACACCAGGAAATGCAACCCTCCTCCACTGGTAAGCAGACTGAAGAAAGGTTAGAAGCAGGAGTTGTGCAGGCTGGATGGAGGACAATCATGAAGACAAGAAATAGAGCACAGTGAGAGGAAGTAGTATAGTAAATAAGCAGTAGAGATGTATGCTCAGCAACCAGTCATGCTATGGAAGAACATACTTTTTATCAAGTCTTCAGCAGG